ATCAACCCGTTCACCCATTACGCATCGTCGCCGTGCTCCTCCTCGTGGTCCTCCTCGTGGTCCTCCTCCTCCTCCTCCTCCTCCTCCTCCTCCTCCTCCACATTCTGTAAGGCTGGCCGCGATGTGACGCCCTGCCGCCGCCCCCTCCTGAGGTTGGGCCGCGCGAGCGCCCGAGGCGGGGCACCTCCCGAGAGCAAACGCACGCCCGGCGACCCGGGCCAGACCACCTCGCTAAGGGCATCTCGAAGCTAGGAGTTTCGAGGAGGTCCCAGGCGAAATCCACAAACCCCCGCCAACTCGGAAACGAGGGGAGGATGTCTGAGGCGAAATGGCCCGGACCACCTCAGTTGCGTGAGGACGTCTCGGTGCGGGGGTCCCGCGGCCAGAATTAGCTTCAGTCACAGCAGCACCCCAGTCAGCAAGGCCGTTTGGGGATCAAGCGAGGCACAAGAAGGCCAGGAGGTTGTTGAGCTTCTAGCTGGGCGGCGAGACTGGGTGGACCACCTCAGGTCAGGGCACCTGGGAGCTCAGAGTTGCGAGGATGACTCGGGCCATACGGGCCAGACCACCTCGAGAACGGCATCGCGGAGCCCAGAGTTGCGAGGATGTCTCAGGCGAAGCGGGCAGGACCGCCTCGCGAACGGCATCTCGAAGCTCAGAGCTCCGAAGATGTCTCAGGCGAATCGCTCAACCCCAGCCAACTCGGAAACGAGATTTGACAGGATGTCTGAGGCAAAATGGCAGGGACCACCTCATTCGCGTGAGGATGTCTCGGTGCGGGGGTCCCGCGGCCAGAACGTTCTTCTATCACAACAGCACCCCGGTCAGCACAGCTTTTTGGGGTAAAAACAGAGCCCCCTATCAATTTGCTCTGTCTCGCCTTCTCGGCTTCTGATGTACCGCAGAGACCTAGACATGGTCCCCCAAACCCGCCTCGAAGAACCAAAGAGGTCGTGAGAAAAACACTAAGAACCGAGATGTTCGAAGGGAGCGGCCAGAATGACCCGCAGGCGAGGTCGACCCGACGCCCCCTTGTTTGCTTCACCACAGCAGGACTGGCCGTGCCAAAGCTCTCCAAAACCTCTCCACGGGCCCCTCGCCCCCTCCATCCCTGTCGCCCGCTGCCAACCTTATTGCTCTGGTTTTTCGAAGTGCTGCTTTGCCTGCTGCCGACTGGCGTGGGAAGATGGCCTCCAAGAAAGTCCAGACAAGGGCCCCGACAGAACAGAGCAGAACCCGCGCGCAAGAGTCGCACGAGGGGAATAAACGGGCTGGAGGCCAGAACACCTCAGTCAATACTAAGATGCTCCACCATACAAGTATGGCGGATTTTGGACGGAAAGAATATTAGAAAAATGCTCCCAGATGATCAAAAATAGCATAAAATCGTCCACCTACGATTTTGTTTTGACTATTTTTGAATGTTCCTTCTGTAGAGGGACAGGCCCGACTTAATGCAAGTGCCAACTCTCGTTCTGCCAAATCAAAAGAATTGAAGCTGACACTGACATGGGACCGAACGCTGCCCAAATACCGAACTGCTACACGGCACGCTGCCAGCACACAGATGACTGACACGAACAGACTGATACGCCCCACTGACATTCTCCGACACTGTACACCTTCTCGCGCGCCGGCTACCCGCGCGCGAGACACTGTGCGCAGAGTGCACGAACACTCTTGCTACGACCACCCGTGCCAGACCACCTCTCGGTCCACCCCGCGGGGAACGAGACATCACCCTCCCCGGATCCTTTCTTACAGTGCAGGATTTAAGACGATCGCTTTGTCCCCCCTTCAATCGCTTTGTACCCAACACATCCCCATTTCCATGTTTCCAAGAATACTTTGGCAACCCACCACAATTTCCTTTGTGTCTGTCCACCCTTCTCTCTGACTTCGATCTGGGCCCCAAGATGTTGCGAACACTGCCAAAGTTGCCTCAATACCATATCAAAATGCTCTAAGATGCACCCGTCAAGCCCCTGAGCCTGACGCACGAGGCCGAAAAGACGGGCAAAGAGACCGTGAGCGCAGCCCAAAAGTCCCCGAGTTGCTTTAAATATCGAACACAAGCCGCGAGAGACGCACACGGATGCACCTCATACGCCCATCGGCAGCGACAGACACATCCTTCTTTCATGTCTGCTCATCAAGATTTAGGCCCCATATCGCCCGAAGAGGGTCCAGAGGGGGCCCAATAGGGCCATAGAGGGTCCGAAGACGGCCCCACTGCAAGCCATGACGGCCCAAGACAGACCGCCCAAAGCTGGCCCACGGGGTGACCAAGATGGCACAAGAAGTACCCCAAAAGCTGCCGTCTGGAGCCTGCCAAGCGGTCCTCAAGGCAGTCCTAAAAGGGACAGAAGCCCCAGGTGGCCCAGGAGGCCCCCGAGATGGTCCAGGATGCTCCCAAGTCAGCGCCGGGGCCCCCGAAGATGGATTTGGTGGTTACACGGGTCCTCCGAATGTGCCCACCAACAAAAACAGGTGCCGGAAACTGGCTTCCGCAATACAGCCATCGTGCTACCATAAGGGACGCCATACAAGGAACGAATGGGGTTTTCTGGCCACAGCGAGCCTAGGCAACGAACAAGTTGCACGACTTAGATCTAAGAGGCGGCCCGAAACCAGAGTCCCTCCTGAGCCCAAAGTGGCCCGTACTTTAGCGTCTTCACTGCAGTCCTTCCTATGTTTCTGCAACGCCTTAAAGCACACAAGCCAGTAGCTTGGCCAAAGTTTGGCCCAACGCTTCGGCCACACAAGTTTTGCGGAAATGAGAAAAGGGGCGGCGGCAGCGGCTCGCCGGAGGCTTCTGCGATGACTGGCGTATCACCGAGGGCGTCCACGCCTCCAAACAAAAAGAGCGTATACTCCGCCTCCCAAAGGGCAATCGTGGGGTGCAGCACCTGTGGAGGCGGGTCTCCGTTCTTAGGACAGAGGGCCCACGTGTGCTCCAGCAGCTTGTAGACATACATATCATTGAGAAAGTCGTCGGAGGTGGTGCCGCCAAAAACAAACATCGCGCCCGAGGAGTTGTGCAACGCCACCCGCATCCCAGCACGCGCGCTCGGTGACGAGCCGGAGGCCTCCAGGACTTCGAAGTGGGGCTCGTAGCAATTCGGTCCGTTGAAACAATCGCTGGAACTCAGCGATCTGCTGCTGGCATCAGGAAGATCGGATCCTTCTTGTGAAGATCCTACCGCTCCGCTGCGCGTCTCTTCCGCGGCTCTAAACTCATACTGGTGAGCAGCACGGTGGTGCGCGGCAGAGAAGTTTCCAGAGTGGCCCGTGCCTCCTGAATCCAGCTTCTCCGAAAAGAAGAGTGACCAATCCCGCTTCTCCAGTTCCTGCGACTCTGGGTCACCAGCCTGCGCCAGGGTCATAGCGCCAGTGTCCAGCCCCAGAATCCAAGGCGACAAAGCACCGGCGGAAGCTTCCTCAGTGGAGGCGAAAGGAAGTCCGAGAACGAAGGCGAGGCTCCGCCAGCCTCCGATGCAAAGCCATGTGCCCAGCTGCGCTCGCATTGGATCCCCGTGAGCAAAAAAGGCTCCTAAGGTTCCCCGGTGCACATCCACCCAGTTTTGCCGCAGCGGATGCAGATAAGATGACAAGGATGAACAGCTATGGTGATGGCTATCCTGATGTGCCCTGGGTTATCCCGCTCGCTGCCATTGGACCCCTCTGGTAATCGCGCAGGACATCTGGAAGCCGTGACAGTCTGCAGTCCGCCCCTACGGACGAGGCAGGACCCGCGCAGCCCGCGATCTGCGCTGATCGTGGTCCAGGCAGGGATGCCAGACTTCTTGCGCGTAAGCACAACATAGGCCAGAGACTAGAACCTACGAAAGGCGGCCAGCAATACATCTGGACCTCCCCTCCTGTGCCTCTCGGTCCAGGAGGTGCTCTGGGTGGCATAGAAACCCTTTTTGGGACGGTAGAAAACTCTTTTTTGGACGCGTAGAAAAGCTGTAGCGACGTAGGGGAGGCCAGGGCTCTCTTAGGGGCAAGGACTGGGGGGTATCGAAAGCGCGGTCCAGCTGCGCAAGGGGACCTCGTGGTAGCCCCCGCCGACCTTACGCGCGCCCTTCTAGAACAGAAAGCTGGCAAGCTCGAGGGAGGATGGAGGAAACTGTCCCCCACCCCTGCAGCGCCCTTGGAAGCGTGAAGGGGCGAGGGCGACGAAGCGGAGACAGGTGCGCTGTAGGCACTGGAGGGCTACAGTGACAACTGGCCATCGCTCGGACGTCAATTCCCTGTGCTTGTTTCGGTTTCGTGCGTGGGTTTTTCGCCAAATGATCAAGGATGCTCCTCGATGGTCCTCGCCGAAGGAAAATTACACACGTCCGAGCGATGCCAAGACAACGGACACACATGAAGAAACACATAGAAGAACCACGAACGGCATAAACGCACGTTCTGTGAGGTCCGCGCGGATGTCTTGGACTGGAGCTGGACCCCCCCCAGGCGCGCGGAGCGCGACAGGGGCAGCGCCAGAGGCGCCGCCTGGGGGCTCCAACGCCGATCCGAGGAATCTGCGCGGACCTCCGAGAAATGATGTTTATGCCGGGTCATGTTCTCCGAGTAGTCGGGGCCTTGACCTAAGGAACCCTAAATAAGGAACGAGGCCCCTATTTTCCATAAGTTGAACTTCGATTTCCCATGGAAAGCCTCAGGAAAACCTGAGGCAAATAGTTCAACAATCAAGGAACACCGAGCCCCTTCCCCAACGAGAAGGGTTCCTTCTTCAGCGCCCCGACTGTAATGGTAGTGCAAATTCAAGCACGTGTTTCTGAGGCGACGGATTGGATGGATGAGCCACCGGGACAAAATCGGAACAGACTGGAGCCTCGAGGTGGCCTCCCGGCCGCCCCGCGCAGCTCCCCAGATGGGGGTACGTCTTCCCTGAAGGGGATCGTTTCCCGCCCCCCTGCCGGGCCCCGTCTGGGAAGATCGAGGCCCTGGACAGGCGACCAGACCCTCCAGACCTGGCTTCGATTTCAAGCGCTGGCAGATGATCGTCGCGCCTGCACGACTCTTTCCTGCCACGGCGACGGGCACCGTCTCAGTGCGGCGGACGCTTCCGTATCACGGACGGCCGCTGCAACAGCAATTACCTCATAAGCCAAATTCTGCACCACCCTCCTCCTCCTTCTCCTCCTCCTCCTCCACGTTAAACTCTCTCTCTCTCTCTCGCTCTCTCCCTCTCTCTCTCTCTCTCTCCTCGGGTGTCGGGTGGATGCCCACGTGTTGGGGGCAATGAGCAGGGAGGGCAATCGAGGGTTACAGGGGCCTGAAGAGGGCCCCTAAATTGCCACCATGGACCGCAGAGCCGCGAGCAGCTCCAGCCCTCGCTCGCAGGCCCCCCGCAGATCCGCCGAAAAACAATGCTACAATCAATATAGATGCCGTGAGGCAAGCAGTGAGCACAACTGGGATCAGCTATTTCCTCTTCCAACCCCCTTCTTCCCCCTCGGGGAGGGGCTTATCACGGTTCCTTATTAATATACACCCCCTCCCCCGAGCGACCGGCGTCCAACCAGGAACCACGAGGACACCGTGCCGACCCGCCCCCCACCATCCCTGCCAAAAAACCATGCAAACCGCACTCTGCCTCCACATTTGGAGCATGCGCGGCAAATCCGATGCAGCCCCCCCCACCATCCCTGTCAAAAAACAATGCAAAATACACTGTGGGGCAAAATCGTGAGTCATGTTCGTGAGGCCTGCGAACACCTTGTATCGTTTTTGACAAGGACGGCTTCGGTGCCAGCATATCCCCTGCGGCGCGCAAGGCTACCATCCTTGACAAAAAATGCTACATGCACCTCGGGGCTGAATCTGGATCATGCGCGGCCATCCCGCGATCATTGACAAACTGTTTGTGACTGGGGCCACGGGGTGGTGGCGCATGGCCTGCCATGCGCAGGCCCACCAGACACAATGATGGGCATTGGTTATCGATAAGGATGGCGGGGGCCGAAATGTTTCCCGATGTGTGTTGTCCAGTGCGCATGCGCACCTGACGCACTCTGCATGTGCCCCGAACATGGCGCACCTGGCGCGGCTGGAGTGTGCGGCACACCTGGTGCACTCGGAGCACGTGGCGCATCTGGCGCACCAGGCGTGCCTTGCACGTTCGGGCCCCAAGGGTACCTGGCGCGCGTGGCGCCCCTGGCACGCGTGGCGCACCTCGCCCCAGCGTCGCGCACATGGGGTCGGCTTTGGTTCGTGGTAGCTGCCCATCCAAAGACGACCGCTGAACATGCTCAGGCTCGGGTGTTACTTATGTGTTGGGGAGGGCGGGGGGGAGTGAGCTAGACGGCTTGCGGGCGGGTGGGTAGCTTGATCGCTGTTCCCTATTCAGTAACACCCCCCTCCCCCAGGCAACTGGTAGCCAACCAGGAACCATGAGGGCCCCACCCACACCGTCCTTTGTAAACAACAATCCAAAACACACTCTGCCTCCAAATTCGGAGCATGCGCAGCCAACCCGATGCGGCCTCCTCCCACCATCCCTTTCCAAAAACAATACAGAATACACTTGGCGGCGGCGGCGGCTGAGGCGGAGGCGGCGGAGGGGGCGGCTGCGGCGGGGGCGGAGGCGGGGGCGGCGGCGGCGGCGGCTGCGCCGGCGGCGGCGGCGGTAGCGGCTGCGGCGGCGGCGGCTGCAGCGGCGGCGGCGGAGGCAGCGGCGGCGGATTGGCCCCCAGTAGCTGCCCATCCAAAGACGACTGCTGAATCTGCTGAGGCTCGGGCCAGACTCCAGTGCTACGTATGTGTTGGGAGGGCGAGCGGGAGTGAGCGAGACGGCTTGCGGGCGGGGAGGGCGTCTTGATTGACCCCTCCCCCTACCCCCTCCCCTGGACCTGGACGGGGGCGGCCGCGAGTGGTCAGAGCGTCCAAGATGGCCCAAGACGGCTCCAAGAGAGTCTCTGAGAGCCCAAGATGACCTCCAAGATGGCTCAAGATAGCCCGAGATGCCTCAAGATGGCTTCCAAGATGCTCCAAGAGGACCCAAGAAAGTTACAAGACGGCTCCAAGAGGCCCCCGAGACATCCAAGGAGGCCTCCAAGAGGCTCACACCCTTCCAAAACCTGAGGCAATCCAATGATGTTTGCCTTCTCGCCTTTTCGCTTCCGATGGCCATCCGAGGCCTCAAGATGGCTCCAAGATGGCCCAAGAGGGCCCCGAGATGGCCCAAGAGAGCGTCAAGACGGCCCCAAGAGCGCCCAAGGGCGCTCCAAGAGCGCCCCAAAAGGCGACTTTAGAGGCTCTGGAGGGGCAGCGCTAATTGGGGACCCCCCCTTTTTTCACCGATGTCCTCCAGGATGGCCCCAAGCAGCGCCCAGGAGGCCCCAAGATGGCCCCAAGATAGCCCCAAGAGGCCCCCAAGAGGCCCCCTGGAGGCCCCTAAGAGGACCCCAAGCGGCCCCAAGAGCCCCCCCCCGAGGCACCCAAGAAGAGCCCCCAGGACCGCCAAAGACCCGCAAACGTCCCAAGAGGCCTCCAAAAAGCTCCCAAGAGATATCCCAAGAGGCTCCGAGGGGCATCCAAGAGACCTCTGGCCCTCTTGCTTGCCCTCCTCCTCCTCCTGCTCCTCCTTCCTCCTCCTACTCCCACTCCTTCTCTTCCTCCTCCTCCTCCTCCTCCTCCTCCTCCTCCTCATCCTAGTCATCTTCCTTCTCCCCACTCCCTCATCTATCCATCCAGCCTCCTCCTTCCCCTCCTCCCTCCTTCGCACGGTTGGGCCGTCCCCCTCTTTGCTCCCGCACTTCCCTGATCACCTCAACTCGCCTGGACATCGTTTCTGGATGGGCTGGTGGGGATACTTTTTGATCGCAAGCGATACGGAGGTACCGCACGCCGTCAAAGTCATAGCGCGCTAGCTACGACCTAAATTGCGCAAGAGAGGGGAAGAGAAGAGACAAAGAGCGCCTCTGAAACTGTATGTTCTTGTAGGTTCGCTGCTCCTCGAGACGGACGAGAGGGGCGAGGAGAAGCGTCCTCCTCCTCCTCCTCATCATCATCAGCCTTATGATAATCATCATCATCCTCATCACCATCAACAACCACAACAGCATCATCACCAGCATCAGCATCCTCACCACAACATCATCAACAACATCATCATCACCAGCATCATCATCATCAACATCATCAACATCATCATCATCATCATCATCATCATCATCATCATCATCATCATCATCATCATCATCATCATCATCATCATCATCATCATCATCATCCTCACCACCACCGTCGTCGTCATATGCATCACCATCACCGTCACCATCACAATCATCACACATCACACTCAGACTCACGATTGCCACCATCTTCCGGGTCCTCCCCCTTCCTCGCTCTGCCACCCTCCTTTCCCCCCATTCTCCCCCCTCCGCGGGCAGGGGATGCCGGGCGGGAGCAGGGGCCGAGGCTTCGGGAGCGGGCCTCAAGAGAGGAGCGGCCCTGAAAATCTGGGGCGCTGCCAGGGATGTGCGGACCCCATGACCGAAGACCGATGGCCTTCGCCGGCGACGACGATCGGCGATCCACACGGCGACGACGATCGACGATCGAGTACGACATGCGGCGACGGCGGCGGCGACGGTGAAACAATCACTACATCGGGGGTTTGGGGGTTGAGATGGCAGTGGAACGGAGAGCCCCCCACCGGCGGTGGCCCCACCGGGAACTTGGTTTCGGCTTCGTGCTCGTGTCGTGCGTGCGGGCGCGGCGAAGCTGCGTGGGCGCTCGAGAAGGATGACCCCGCCGTCGCAAGGGCGATTCAGATGCAGAAGTCCAGCCCTCCGGTGGGCGCGCGGTGGCTGGGGATGCTCCGCCGTGGTGTCTCGCGGTGTCCCGATGGTGTCCCGCGGTGTCTCGCCGTGGGCGCGAGAGAGGAATGATCCCGCCGTCGCTAGGGCGATTCGGATGCAAAAGTCCAGCCCTCCCGTGGGCGCACGGTGGCTACGGGTTTCCCGCCGTGATGTCTCGCGGTGTCCCGATGGTGTCCCGCGGTGTCCCGCCATGGTGTCCCGATGGTGTCCCGTGGTGTCCCGTGGTGTCCCGCGGTGTCCCAGTGGTGTCCCGCGGTGTCCCGTGTCTTCCAGTGGTGTCCCACGGTGTCCCGCCGTGGTGTCCCGATGGTGTCCCGATCGATAGCGAGATCGATAACAATCGACAGTAAGATCGATATTGAGGTCGATAGTAAGATCGATCGACAGTGAGATCGTGTTGCCAGCGGTTGACTCTTTCCCCTCCCCCAACCTAATTGTTACCTGAAGGGTGGTCGTGTAGGTAATCAAAAACTTTCAGAGGTCCGCGCGCAATTCTTGGATATACGCCCGGCGATTCTTAGATCTCCGCAGACCCCGTGGCCGGAGACCGTCGGCATTCGCCGGCGACGATCGACGATCCACACGGCGACACAATTGCGGCGGCGATCGTAGAGGAAGATCACACGGCATAAGAATAGACTTTCGGAGGTCTTCGCGGAGTTCTTGGATCGGCGCCTTGGCGCCCCTGGCGGCGCCTCCAGCGTCGCCCCTGGACGAAGACCGAACAGACTGGCCGGGACCGAAAGCCGACGACCTCCGCTGGTGACGATCGACGATCAAGAATTTCTTGGCGCAAGATTTGAATCGGGCCTGTCCTCCTACAAGGGGATTTTGGACGAATAATGATTTTTTGATGCCCCCAAAATGGTCGAACAACATACCAGAAAAATCGTCCCCATATTATTCGACTATTTTTGAATATTCCTCCTGTAGAAGGACAGGCCCGACTTAACGCAAGATGGGTTCCAACACTGCCACAGATTATCTTCACGAGCCCTGATGGGGAACGTTAAAGACGGACGGTTCTTGACTAGTTTCGGTTTCGGGGAGCCCTCTCCAGGCCGCAGGAAAACCAAAACGACCTGGGATGAAACACCTGCCCTGGGGAGAAGATCCAGAACTCTGTGGGTCGACGCTTCGACGGAAAAACACAGCGTCGGAATCCTGGGCTCTCTCTAGGGCTGGCGGGTACTGGATCAGGAGGGGAAACCTCGACCGATGGATCGACGATCGGGCCCCGATGGCGGATCCGCGCGTTCACGATCAGTGGGCGATTTGAGGTCGATGCGTCCCACCCTTGGCCTCCCACCCCCCGACGTTGCGCCCGAAATGCACACGGTGACGACGGTCGACGATCGAGTACGACGATCGACGACGACGGCCGAGACAACGACGACGACCGACACTCGAGGAACGGCGGCGGCGGCGCCCCTGCAGGGGCCGGGCGACTCGCCTGGCGCCGCCCAAGCGACGCCAGGAACCCCCCGCGCCGCGATCCCGCCTCGCCGCGGGCGGGAAGGTGGTGGGGGGGCGAGGTCATGATGCTGAGGATGGCGGGGATGGTGATGGTGATGGTGGTGATGGTGGTCATGATGGTGATGGCGTTTATGCTGCTACTGATGCTGATGATGCTGCTGCTTGTGATGGAGATTGTGATGATGACGATGACAGTGGTGAGGATAGCCATGATGATGATGATGATGATGATGATCCTCATGATGATGATGGTGATGATGATGATGATGATGATGATGATGATAGCGCTGACGATTATGATGACGGTGGTATTGTGTATGCTGCGGACCCCCTTGCATAGATCGGACGCGGCGATCACCGTCAGTACATGTGATGGTGGTGCCCATGATGATGATGATGAGGAGGATCAGGATGATGATGACTATGTTGTTGCTTATGATGTGGATATTATGGTATTGGTGATGACGATGACGGTGGCGGCGGTGTCGATGGTGATGGTGACGCTGATAATGATGAGTATAATGATGGCGACGGTGGTGAGAAGTATGGTGGTGATGGTGACAGTGGTGACAATGATAAAGGTACTGGTGATGATGGTGGTGATGATGGTGATGGTGATGCTGACGGTGATGGTGGATGCGATGCTGAGGATGATGATGCTGATGATGATGATGATGGTGAGAATGATGATGATCATGGTGCTGATGATGCTGCTGATGGTAGTGAGCATGATGATGATGAAGATGCTGATGCTGTTGTTGATTCTTATGATTATCATGTGGATGATGATGACGATGAGGATGAGGATAGTGAAAATGATGTTGCTGCTGATGATGATGATGGCGATGATGATTATGATGATGCTGATGCTGATGATGGCGCTGATGATAATGGTGATGATGATGATGATTTTCCACGGGACCGATGGCAATGACCGGTTAACAACTAACGAAGTCCAATAGTCAGCATCTGCAAGAGTGTCAGCCAGCGCGGTCGAGCGACAGTTCAGAGTCTCGGGCGCCCGTGGGAACATTCCCACCGAGACCAGGCCCAGCTTCGCGGGGCGCCGCGGGGGCGCAGCAAGCAGCAGCAGGGATGGAGGGCGAGAGGGGGGGGGCCGATCGATCGATCAAGGCCAACGTCTGCACTGAGCTTGCCACCCAAGCACGAGCGGGGCGGCTGTGAGAAAGACTCTCTCTGAGGCCGCGGGGCACGGCGCCTGGGAGCTGCCCAGACCTCGCGCGCGGGCACATCAAAGAAGCCGGGGCGAGCCGACAAGGGATGGCTCAGCCTAGTCGCATCAGCTGAGGTGCGCCAGTGGGTGCGCAGCCGCTGTCCCAGGTCGGCGGACGGGGTCGGAGCTCCAAGCGGGTGGCCACAGAGAGCGACCACGACATCCCAAGGAAGAAAAAGTAAAGCCTCGAAAGAGCAGGGCCACGGGAACCAGGGGCTCAACCAACGCGGCAACTACTCTTCAAAAAGAGACAACAACGAATTCGGGGAGACAGCAGCGGCGATCCTGCGAACACGATCGGCTGGGGGGGCGGAGCGGGGCCGCAGACAGACTCTCTCAAGCGCAATCTGTTGCAGAGAGATGCAGGGCGGACCTCGAGGCCAGCTCGGGCGCCGCCACAGCGGCAGCAGCAGAGCGGCAGCAGGGGGCGGGGGAGAGGAGGCAGAGAAGGGGAGCCGACACAAGACCAGAAGAGACGAAACGCACTAAATTCATTGTCAACGCGCTCTTCCCCCATCTGCTGAAACAATCGACGCAGAGCGATCCCGAATTGCTGTCAACTGCCATTCACAGAACATCTCGTAAGCACGCCAGACAAACTGAGCCCTGAGACGATGAACGTTGAAAGCGGCTCCTGAAACAACAAGCAGACGAGGGATCCACCGATCCTCCGAGGGGCCAAAAGCATGGTGTCCAATCGCAATCAGCACAACCCAAGAGACAAAACGGACGGCCCAAGACGAGGGCAAGGCTGAGGCCGAGAGACCAGGACACAACAAGAGCTCAGAGCCGAGCAGATGTGGACAAGGAGAAAGGAAAGAAACAAGCACTCTCTCTCTCTCTCTCTCTCTCTCTCTCAGAGCCAGCGGCAGCGGCGAGAGAGCGGCAGAGACAGAGAAAGAGACAGCGCGCCAAGGAGAAGCGTTCGGCACAACGGCACCTGAACAGAGCACTGACTGAGCACGAAACTGTGACCCGATCTGGTCGGAGTCAAGGAAGCAGAGCAGGGCAGCTTCATCCGGGACCTTACCCCATCGGGTTACGAACATGTTGGATGGCCGCTCGGATCGGGGGGTGACGCAGCATCAACATTCGCAAGCAACCTTCGAAAACCGCTTCGGGCGACACCGAGGCAGAAACGAGACGCAAACGGAACTGGGAGTGGGTGTGCACAAAGCACTCTGCTAGCGCACGCAAGGCTACGTCACGCTTTGTGTCGGGAGCTCGACCGTCTACACAGCAAAACACAAGGGGCGGGGCAGCGAAGCCGAGAGGGGAGAGGGGGCGAGCCCAGGACGAGAACAAGCCAGAGACTTTAGGGCAATGCTGGTAGTGCGAGATGTCATCACGGCCGTCGCGGCAACCGAAGAGACACCCCTCGGGGTGAGCGTGAAACCTGGCCGACGTCCAAGCCCCGCGACATAGGATCCTTAAAACAGCGACCACTAAAAACATTGAAACCGAATTACAAACGCGTTCCATGCGAATTTGGAAGACAGGATACCCGACAGCAGGAGGGAGGGAGAGAGGAAGCCATTGCAGAACACGCCGAGAGACTTCACCAAGGACCACACCAGGGCGCTCATCATCTCGAAGGGCCTTGCGCATCTGGGCTTGCGCGACAGTCTCGGGGGCTTCAGGGCAGAGCACGCGGGCACGGGGGGCAACGCGGACATGCACCTCACTCATATAACTCAGAAGCGGATCAGTAAACCACCCACGATGTAGCCGATATGGAATCAGATCCCAGGAGTCTTCGTGCATCTGACGCAGATCATTCTGGAATTTGGTCCACGCCGCAGACCCCTGAACAGTTCGATGCACCGAAGCGAGAGCGATATGCTTGATAGAGGCACACTGAGCATTACAACCTGTGTCCGTCAAGTATCTCACCATGGGACTGCCGAAGCTACACCGCGGGCCCGCACGCAAGATCTGAAGGGCACGGTCCTCCAGCTTATATAACCGCGCAGTCGGACGATGAAATTGCACAACGTAGCTCAGCACAGTAATGGCACGAACGTTGTAGGCAACAGTCGACCCTGCAATGCCGGCCCCCACGAGACGAATCTGGCAGACGCGGAAGAAGTACTTGCCACGCTGTGTCGGGAAGGAGTGCATATGAGCCTCAGGGCCTACTGATACTCCAAGATAGAGATAGCGACACCAGCGAACGACTGAGCAGAGCTCGCAACCACCCCCACTAGAGACCAGGAGCGCACGAGTACGAGCCTCATCCCCATAGGCTCCCAGAAGAAGAATGCATTTCCCGAAATGCAGCCCCAGCCCTATAGCATCAGCGAGCATGCGGAGCTTTAGGAAGACTGGAACCAAATCAGAGAAAAGGTTGGCCATCAGGAAGCGGAGGTCGTCGGCGTAACCTGAAAGGCCGAACCTAGGTGGGCCTGTTGCAACTAGCCACCGACAGACTGGGTCCAGGGCCAGGGCAAACAGCAACATGCACGCTGGGCACCCTTGACGAACACCTCGGCCCACAGGAAAGCTGGCCAGAATGATTCCACAGAAACGGACCCGAGCAACATTGTCCAAAGGGAGGTTTTCGAAATACTGAACAGTCCAGGAAGGGATTCCCATACGCTGCAGAACAAACAGAGCCCATCCAATGATGAGGCTGGGAAACGCCGCTTTGAAGTCCGTGAAGAGCTGGGCAGCTTCATCACGGCCTTCCAGGTGAGCCAGGAGACCGCCACCCTCACAGGCAATAGCATTGTCCAGAATCGAGCGGCCAGGGAACCCGCCAGTCTGAGACTCCAGGATGGTATGAGTGCTGACCTGGGTAAGCGGACTAGCGATAGCAGCGGTGATCAACTTGCCATCTGCGCATCCCATAGACAGCGGACGGGTCGAAGACGGTTTCCGAGCAGGAACTGCTGCGGCATCAGTAGGATGACCCCCCTTCGCAAAGAAAACAATCAACATCTCATGGAAGTCATCAGGGAGAGGGTCTTCGGGATGGCTAACGCAGTCCAGGTAAACATCGTGCAAGATCGCTTGAGCCCCAGGGTGTTTCCAGCAGCCGTACGGTAGGCCGTCGATCCCAGGCGTAGGGTTCCCGGACTTCTTGACCAGAGACCCAAAAGCGTCGGCATCTAAGATCCACTCCTGATTCGGACAGAGGACGTCGGCACGCTGGATGTGCTGGGACAGAGTCGGCCAGAGCGAACGGCTGGGGGGCTTGGCCGCGAAGACCGAACCCACATGATGTGACAGCTCTGTACCCGCATGCTGGACCGACGCGCAAGGTGCACCCGTGCTCAACCAAGAGGTTGCCAAGACGGATCGACATGTTCAGACTGCGCCGACGTTCCCTATTGCGCGGCACACGTGCGCGACGGCGTGCCACTTCGTGCTCGGGGAGTTCGCCCGCATTCTGGAGAGCCTCTTCCTCATCATCTAACAACTGGTTGTTAAGAGCTGCAACGTGCGCATACAACCCCTGTGGATCAAAGAACGCGCCGGCATCCACGTCAAAGAAGCTGGTTAGAAACAGATACGCACGCACTGCACGCACAACAAGATATGATGTGGAAGCTCGAAACCCTCGCAGAGCAGAGATACACCAATGCAGATGCTCATGGACAGTCGTCGCCAGTCGTGAACGAAGGATCTCACGAAACTCAGCATGAGCCTCGTGCATTGCCACCTTGGCACGAGCGAGCTGCAACCGAATCGGGAGACTCCGATCAATGTCTGCGATCAGCCTGTCCAAACACCCGGTGTACTCTTCAGTGGCAGGGGCCCAACCGGGGATCGGAGGAGGGCCGTCAGAC